ATGTCTATCACCTGTCAACAGGTAAAGCTCACCCTCTGGAACATGTCTATCACCTGTCAACAGGTAAAGCTCACCCTCTGGAACCGAAGAAGCTGTCGATGTCAGGGAAGGCGGAGCAGAACTGCTTGAAGTAGCAGTTGAGCGGTGAGGCGAAACACTCGAAGGTAACACCGAACTGACGATTGAGCGCCTCGAACACAGACACCGGCAGCGCCCCCTGCAGGCCTGTCCCTTCATTAGCGCTGCTGCCAAACATCACCTGGACACACACAAACAGGTGTACCTGGTTTCCTCTCAGCCTCCAGCACAGACACAGAAACAGAAAGGTAGCTGGCCAACAGAATCAGCAGACCTGGTATCTCTTCAGAAGGCACCAGACTCTGGACAGGAACTTCTCGAAGCGAGGATCGTCTATACAGCTGTACCTGTACAGGAGCTCCTGCAACACACAGGTGAGTCAGGGTAACAGGTGAGTCAGGGTAACAGGTGAGTCAGGGTAACAGGAGAGTCAGGGTAACAGGTGAGTCAGTGGAAACAGGTGAGGCAGGGGTAACAGGTGAGGCAGGGGTAACAGGTGAGTCAATGGAAACAGGTGAGTCAGTGGAAACAGGTGAGTCAGTGGAACAGGTGAGTCAGGGTAACAGGTGAGTCAGGGTAACAGGTGAGTCAGGGTAACAGGTGAGGCAGTGGAAACAGGTGAGGCAGGGGTAACAGGTGAGTCAGGGGAAACAGGTGAGTCAGGGTAACAGGTGAGTCAGTGGAAACAGGTGAGTCAGGGGAAACAGGTGAGTCAGGGTAACAGGTGAGTCAGGGGAAACAGGTGAGTCAGATGAAACAGGTGAGTCAGGAGAAACAGGTGAGTCAGATGAAACAGGTGAGTCAGGGTAACAGGTGGGCACCAACAGGTGAGGTCACTGTGGTCAGAGCCTGTCAGTAATCAGATTACTGGACTAACCAGCTTGCTGAAGTGTCCTCTGTTGACTTTCACCATCTCTCCTTTGAAGCGGAGACAGGCCATGTCGTTCTCAAAGTGCAGTTCCACCCGGGGGAGGGTAGGCGTCGACATCGTTAGACGAACAGGGTAACAGTAAACAAGGCGGGGCTGCGGCGGCGACGCACACACCTCTGTACAGCAGAACACAGGTAAACAACACAAGCAGTTAATGAAACGCTGCAGCAAGCGCAGGTGTGTCTGTGTACCTGTGGGTGTGTGTGTACCTGTGAGTGGGTCCTGCAGTAGGCTCAGGTGTGTCTGTGTACCTGTGGGTGTGTCCTGCAGTAGGCTCAGGTGTGTCTGTGTACCTGTGGGTGTGTCCTGCAGTAGGCTCAGTTGTGTCTGTGTACCTGTGGGTGTGTCGGTTTACCTGTGGGCGGGTCCTGCAGCAGGCTCAGGTGTGTCTGTCGCAGGCGGCGGCTGTATTCAGCTGACAGCTGGTAGATCTTGGAGCAGATTCCCTCCACAGAGTCTTTAGCCACAGCAGCAACATGAGGTCCACACTGCTGCCTCAGGTGTTCCAGGCGTTCCTGTGAACACAGGTGAGATAACAGTCTGCACATAAGGGGCGTGTCTCACAAACAACAGCGGAGGAGGTTACTGGACTGAATCCCAGCCAGAGACCTTTCTGGATAGAGTTTGCATGTTCTCTCCATGCATGTGTGGGTTTTCTCTTGGTGCTCTGGTTTCCCTCACAGACCAACAACATGCACTTCAGTCCAGCCAGTTCCTCTTAGATGGTCCTGGATCCAGACTAAAGTCTGGAGGTGATCGGACCCAAAACTCTGGAATGATTTACATCTTAGTGTTCAGACTGTTGGGACTTTTAAATCTCTACTTAAAACTCACTTTTACTCCCTGACTTTCATTCTGCTAGAGTTTGAGATTCTTTTAATGATAATGTTTTTAATGTTTTTAATTATTTTATTTTCTACATTTATGTGTTGCTCAATTGTTTTATTCATTTGGCTTAGTTGTGAAGCACTTTGGCCAAATTCTGTTGTTTTTATGTGCTTTATAAATAACACTGATATGACCGTTAGGCTACCTGATAACTTGAGTTTGTTTGTCTCCATGTGTTACAAAAATATTTAGAAATATACATTTTCTTTTTACTGTTCTTTAACCAGGTAAGACCCATTGAGATCTCAGCTCTCTTCTTCAAGGGAGGCCTGAAGGTAACATCTTCTACATGTTTTTAGTGCTGGGGAACCACAGTACCTGGAGAAAACCCACACAAGCACGAGGAGAACATGTAAACTCCACACAGAAAGACCCCAGGTCTGAACCGGGAATCAAACCCAAGACCTTCTTGCTGTGAGGCATCGGTGCTAACCACTGATCCATCGTGTTGCAATTCTATAAAGGATATATTTGATAGGACATTCATACTGCATGTAACATACACCATCGAACCACTGAAGAAGCCTTCTTGTGACCTTTGAGACCCGGCAGAACCCTGATACAAACTAACGTCAGAACTCCAGGACACTGATCAGAAACAGGCTGTTTTTATGGTGTTTGACGCAGCACTTCATGCTGACTGTGTTTCTGTTCAGCTGCAGCTCAACACTTCCTGCTCTGTTTAAACTGGACCTTACCATGTAGTCCTCCTTACTGGCTGAGTGATCTCTGCGCAGCCAGTTCATGGTGTCCTCTGCGTTCCACTTCACCACCTTCCTGCTCTCTGGACTCACATTTCTGCAGGACAAAGGTCAAAGTTACACACACACACACACACACACACACACACACACACACACACACACACACACACACACAGGTCTGCTGCTACCCACCTGGAGTCAATCATTCTCTTGGCAGCTTCAGCGTATTTAAACAGCAGCTTCCGGGCCTCCTCTTTGTACTTAATGCGAGACAACCTGAGACACGGATCAATAGATAATCAATACAGGATCAATAACACAGCTGCAGCTGTGTTTTCACATCTGTTCACATTTAAATCATGTTTTAGTCTTTATGTTCCAACCATTGATATATATTACTGGAGTGGGCGTGGCTAGCGTGTTGCTAGCTACACTGACGTGCACACACTGGAGCTCTGTTCTTCACTGAGGAGCCTCAACACAATGAATGGAGCTCAATGCACTGTGAGGTGTCTTCCCGATGAAAAACTCTTATAACTTCATTATTTCTTGATCCATTTTTACAAAATATGGTTCCAAATAAAGCTGAGCAAATTGTGAATTTTATATTTATGGAAATTTAAAATAGATAACTAATTTAAATGACTAAAACAGTGGCTTTAACTGAGTATTTTGCATTTCACAGGTGTTTTTTCTTCCAAATCAATGAGTTCTGACCAGCTGGATATTCACATATTTATTAATCAGAACTGAGTCTTAGACATCTAAAATAATAAAATTTATCTTTCAAGTATTTATACAGTATATGTGTGTGTGTATATTAGGGCTGCAACAAAACAGAAAATTCACAATTCAGTTCGGTTCAATTTTTTGTCTCAAGGGTCCATGCCCTTTTTACCTTCTAATTTATTTAAATTAATTATGAACATTTGTTTGACCTCAAAAGTACAGTTTTTAAATTAAATGTTGCTGAAACAACAAGTTTCTCA